GGCCTTGATTAAGATCAAGACCATCATTGCTCTTTTCATTCAAACAATGGAGGTACGACAATCTTGATGCTCAACGGGCAACCGCAATTTGCCATGGCCTTGCTAACGTATACAGGGCTGGGGATATACAGTAACAATGCTGGACAACTTCCTTCTGAAGCTGTTCGACAAGTATGCCGAACTATTGAAGAAGCGTTTTAGCGTAGACTTCCAGGAGGTGAGTGTTGTACAAACCCTATCGTTGCCATTTGCTGACAAGCCACCAGATAGTGTCCACGGATGACTACATGCCAATGGCCATCAATACACCAGAAGAGTACGAAAAGGTTGTCAATGTCAGTTGGTTCACTCAAGAGAAGCCAACGGATCAACTCACGTAAGTTCTCATCCTGACTGGAACCAACTCCTGCTAACAAAACAGGTACCCATGCGTACTCCCCTTCTCACAGATGTATCCTTTATGTTGTATAGACATCCGGAACTTCCTGAATCAGTTCTACTTCTTTTCGGATGACCACTTCCAACATCCCAATGTCATTGATGAAACGCTTAAAAAGGCACGACACCCCTTTCTCACCCGAGGCTCAATGCTTACATCTTCGATAGTCGCTTGACGAACTTCTTACAGAAAAGGTCTGCAAGTCGTTAGTAGAGCGTCTGAGCTCTCAATACCTGGGACAGATCGTCCAAATTCTCATTAACTTGGAGCACTTTGAGATTGCCTGTCAAGAGCTCGAGCAATTACTCATTCGTGCACGCTCATCAACTTCAGCCGGCGGCCCAGTCAAGCTTAAAGCCACTGACTCGTTCCGCAACAACAAGAAGACCGCGGAGAAGCGCATTTTTGAACTTGTCAACTCCAAGATCGACGATCTGATTGAAACAGCCGAATATGAATGGTACGTTCTTGAACTGATCCTTTGTGGCAGGTCTGACTAGTCTTAGGACCGCATCGACAGTGGAAAAGGAACCCAGCAACTATATGCAAACTTTGACGCGGTACCTGTCAAACATTATGAACTCAACCCTTCTTGGTTTACCTCGAGAGATCAAGGAACTTATTTACTTTGACGCTCTGAGCCACACAGCCGAAAAGATTCTGGTATGTACTAATCCTCGCGCAAAGTGCTTCATACTCACCACTCCAGGCCCTTCCACTCTCTCCTGACGTGAAGCACATCAATCCCAACGGCGTAGCCGCTCTCGCACAAGACGTAGATTATCTTGTCCAGTTCGTCAGCAGTCTAGAGAACGGTCAAATGCTTCGAGAGAACTTGGATGAGCTGGCACAGACCATTGCTCTCCTCCAGACGGATAACCAGGATGAGTTCTTTGACATTTCTACGCGCAACAAGAAATACGGACGTGTAGATGCCCTCAATGGACCAATGTTATTGGAGAAGTATGTCAAATCAAATTGCCATCAGTCTTTCATGTTGCTAACAAACTGCAGGTTGACGCCCATCACCGCGAGCCCCGTTAGAAGCGCGCCGCTGGCCAACTTTTCCTCACGATTTGGCATAAACCGAACATGATTTAGTACTGCAACGATAATGAGACCATTGGGAGTTCTTGGGCATGAAGAAGCGGGAATAGTAGTAGCTAGAGCAATAGGAAATGATGGGTGTTGTTTGCTACGACTCTTGCATTAGTGAGCAAAAAGGAGAAGGCTTCATCAAGCCTGCAATATGAGCTCTAAATACTGTCTGTTTAGATCCATGAAGTACTTTACTGTCTCGCTTGTATCATCTGGCACCAGAAGAAAGAAAGCATCCCGCTCAGAACGCAAATCACCATGAATCGCACCAGCATAGGTTTCTACGGGGCTTTCCAATGTATCAACGCCAGAACAACGTTCTCCAATGTCTAGTCTTTCTCTATTGCGGTGTAACGATCTACGACGCGTCCTTACCCCCAAGGCGAGGCAAGAAAACTTAGGACCCCTACTCTAAGTGATAAAATGACTTGTGTAAGTTTAGTATATCCTAGTGAGCCTTTTGGACCAGTTTACTTTAATACCGCGATTTAATGCCAAAAGTTTTCCTTCCCCCTAAGGCCCCCCCAGACTGCCCTCCGGGGTTCTAACCAAGGCCCTGCGATCACACTGGTGGCCTCAAAGTTTCACATAAAAGGGAACGAGGACAAGGGTATGTAATGTCATATCAAATCATGCCTGGGGTAGTCGCGCCTGAATTGTTGCTAAGAATGAGAACCTTTGTATTCCTTCCGCGCCTATATCCATATCATAACCGCTCCCGATGTTCCTCCAACTCTTCACTGCGCCTCTCTTTCACCAACTCGTGGTGATCTTGTTTCGCTGATCGGATTCGATGGCTGTTTTTCGGAAGAAGAGTCCTACTGCTCAAATTCCTCGTTGGGCATGTTTGTCTGCTGTGGTGGCATGGCTGAGTAGGGATACATGTCGCCCATGTTGCCGTACGGATTCATGGTGGGAGGTTGGGTCTGGCCGTAGGCGGCCTGGGGGTTAGGCACTGATTGGTCGGGATACATGTTGGGCTGATTGCGGTAGTCTTGATCGGGAGCGAGGCCATGCCCAGCCATGTAATCACCACCCATTGGATGGGCTTGGTTGGGTGCCTGGGTCATCGTGTGTTGTCCTGACATTGGAGCCTGACCAGCAGGTACCGGTTGAGCAACTGCGGTCTGGGTCCGCTTAGCATGACTGGATGCTTCTTCCCGGGGGACGATGTCAATCAGAAAGTCGAACATATCGGACTTTGCGAGAGCGGATGCGATGTCGGAACGCTGAAGAGTACGGCGCTTGTTCTCCTCGGCGTGAATCCATGCCCTCATGGTCAACTCCGTAATGAAGATCTCGCAACCCTTTGCGAACAAGATCGGGGCCTCAGCAGATATCATCTTGACCTCGGGATCGGCTTTCATAACTTTCTTGATGCGCGCCAGCGGTAGCTGATGGAGCTTGTAGTCGTGGTTGTCGTTTTCGAGGTGGGAGATGGTGTGTTGCCAGTATGTAGTCAAGATGTCCTTGTACTGGCCCGTGAGGCCTTGATGCGCCTGGAAGAGTATCACTCAGTTAGCGTAATCATTATTGCAGTGGTATGACATGTTATGAAACTTTTTTGGCTCACATTTGCCCAAGGACCGGTGTAAAGCTCACTGGGCGCAAAACCTTGGGTCGCGAGCTAAACAAGTGATTAGCGCGAAGTCTACAACAAAGGTTGAAGCTATCGCGTCGCGTCACGTCTGCAATAGAAAGTCATGAGCTAGAACAAGGAGGTTTGATATTACCAAAGCGCTGGCACCTGTACAATCAGATTAGAACCTAGAGTTGCCATAAGACGTGATGGGTTAGGATGGAGGATTCGCACCATAATGACCGCCTTGAGAGGCGTCATAAACTGGCCTGGTTCGGCCTGCTTGATTGGGGTTGTTCTCCATGATAGAATGTTGCGGGAGGATGTGTGAGGGAAAAAAAAAAAAAAGAGGTTGAAGTAATTGAAGGAAGAAGGTTGACGCAGCTGCTGAGAGCAGTGTTGTTTTGCTTGATAGTGGTGTTGGTGGTTAGCAATGACGGAACAGCAAACAATGGAAGCAGTCCAGATTAGGCTTAGGGCGTAGCCGGTTGCGCTAGGGCTTGATTGGACAGGTTTACAACCGCGCTCAAGGAAGTACGTACTGCAGATCGATCAGGTTTCAATCTTTAAGGTAAGGAAACTACAAATTCAACCGCAGATACTGGACATGTACTTCACTTGGATATTGTACCTAGAGATGTTAGTTAGAAGCTGTGACGCTCTTCTACTTTTATACATAGTTTGTGCTTCGCGTACGATTCGCGTCGCTCAAGGTTCGCGTCAAACTACAGAAGACCTTATAGATACCTTAGGGAGGGACCTTCTGGCTGAACTCTTAGAGCAAAGCGGCCAGAGTGGGGCTATTGGCATGTCTCCACTGCATTTTTTCTGCCATCTCTGAACTATTTCTACGCGCTCGTTTCTCGTTCCCTTCACTTCTCTTCTCTTTTTCCTCTCGGTCGACAGCAGACCATGACAGACATCTCAGATGATCAGGTCGATGAGCTGCTGCGCAAGGCTGAGCAGCGTCTGAAAGATGGCTCTGCTTCTGCTATCGTCTCTTCCACAACCTCAAATGCTGTAGTCGCTGGCGACGCCGCGACAACAAAAGATGTCAAGCAGCAAAACTCTTCCAACAGCAGCAGCAAGAAAGATGGCCTGACTGTTCGAGCACCACCTCAACCGCAATTGGGACTCAAGGCCAAGGAAAAGGTAAGAAAACAAACTCCAATCTCTTGCCTTCGAAGCCGACTCCGTTTGCCATTTGCATGAAGAAAATTTATCCCAAACCTTTTGTGACATGGGACAGTATCCGTTTTGGATCAAAGGACCATGACAACGTGATCTCTTTATATCATAGTTACTCTGACTTTTACCTCGCGCAAACACTTTAGCACATCAACGCAGGACACTCGCTGTTGAACAAACATGGCTAACAAGTTTCGCAATAGTCTACCGCAGGCCCTGAGTGGTTCGATCTCCCCAAGACGAACATGACCCCCGAGTTCAAGCGAGAGTGGCAAGTCCTCCGCATGAGAGGCATCCTGGACCCCAAGCACCAGAAGAAGAACCTCCGCGCGAGCGCTCCTGAATATTCCCAGGTCGGCGAGATCATCGCCGGACCGACCGAGTTCTTCAGCGCGAGACTCACGCGCAAGGAGAGGAAGAATACCCTCCTCGAGGAGGTCACACGGGATCTTGATAGTCATAAGTTCACCGACAAGTACGCTGGTATCCAGAAGCAAAAGACCAGCGGAAAGAAAGCTTTCTACAAGAACGTTGTAGCGCAACGTCGTAAACGTAATTAAATAATAATATTGTCAAACAATGATACGTGTCTGAGTGATGTATTCATTTATCCGTATGGTGAATGTTGTGATACTGGCCTAATAATTAAGGATATAGATATTTGTAGCTTTCCTTCCTTTCATGGTCATTGTGGCTGCCATTTTTCAACCCCCACCAGCCTTCACTCTATGGCGGGGCATGCCTCTTGAGCCCAGTGATCGCATGTTTGAGTGACCTACACAATCCTTCCAACAATGGCCGAAGACCCAGCAGAAGTTGAGAGAGTATGTATAATCAATGCCATTCCTTTCTACGCTTGAATCAATAAAGGAGAAGCTTCTGCTGTCGTGAAGCGCAGCAAATCGCATCGTATTGACTAACTTTTCTCGCCTCTGTAGCTCATTCTCTCACTGTACCAACCGAATCCTCCCGAAGTGATTGCTCAGACACAAGCAACCTTATCTCGTCTTCAAGGGACTCCTGAAGCTTGGGGTCTTGCACGTATCTTATTGGAGAAGCCTGATCAACAGGTCAAGTTCTTTGGCGCACTCACCATCGTCATCAAACTCAATAATGAGAGGTATTCATGTCTTTGTTATTGTTACTGGCCTCTCACTAATCCTCTTTGTAGCTCATCCCTTTCACCTGAAGATGCATCCGAGCTGTTACTATTATTGATAAATCACTACCTTGATACGCTGCGCAGCCGAAGCTCGCCGTTGGTTGCCCGGAAACTTGCATCAGCCCTTGCGACTTTCTTCATCAACTTTCACCAACTATGGAGTCGTTTCATCCGACATCTCATATTCTGTTTAGTCTCAGGCCAATCGTGTCTACCAAATGCCCTCGATGAAGTACCCGATACGGTTTCGCTTATGGAGCGCATGGAGCCATCACAAGCACAGGCTGCTCTTTGGGTATTGACGAACGTTTTCGATGAGGTTGCCAAGATCAACCTGAACTCCGTGCAAAAGTATGTACCTTCCACGTCGCTTCATGGCCGACTGTTCGCATGCTAATGTAATGGCAGTATTGGTATCTATGGTTCCATCTTGGAGAATAGCTCCGATGCAGTGGCTTTGATGAGTCGCAGCATGTCACCGCAAACGACAACTGAAGAAGCCCATGAAGACGCAATCCGATGCCTACAGGTAGGCGAGCACAGCCCTGTATTCTGTATTTCGCTAACGAAATATACAGTCGTGGGTTTGGTTCGCTCAAAAGTCATCGTCCAAGGATACAAGACTCTCAGAACCCATCGGACCCTTGATCACAGCAGTAATCACCTCCTTGACAGTCGACGAACTTTACAGCGTATCAGTCGAACTAATGGTAGATCTGTTATCCAACTGTTTAATGTTCCTGAGCGATACCCATTTCGCCAACCTTGCTCAACTCTTTGACTCCCCCTGGTCTCAAGGTCGCTATGAGAAACTAGTGCAAGGAGACTTTGAGTTTGACTCTCTACAATACGGCTTGCTCCTGTTGGCCTTTGGAGAGGCGAAGATTGAGAGATTCATGCAAAGCGATGACAGCAGGAGTCAGAAACTGCTCTCAAATCTATGCGGTCTACTCGCTGCTCGAGGTTATGTTATTGAGGAAGACAGGATCTTTGTCCCAGCTCTCGAGTTCTGGCTGACTTATGCTGAGACCTTGACTGATCTAACGTATTCAGATGAGGAGTCAACTGGAACCTGGGTTCCCCGAGCTCGTTCCCACCTTCTGCAAGCTGTTTCGAATGCATGGCAGAAAATCACATACCCACCTGCTGAAGAATTCCACTCGTGGGATTCGAACGAACGGATAAGTTTCCATGAAGCAAGAAAGGATGTAGTCGATCTTCTTCAGTCCGTCTTTACATTGGTAGGACCACAGCTCGTGTCTACCTTTGCGGACCTTGTTCTGAAAGCTTTGTCTGATTCGTCGTGGCCTCAACTCGAAGCAGCGGCCTTTTGTTTGGGTGGTCTTGCCGATTGCATCAGCGAGACAAACAGAGGTGACGATGCGCTGTCCGTGGTTTTCAAGTCATCCCTGTTCGCGATCTTACGTTCAGGCCAGTCCGAGATTCCTCCTAAGGTTCAGCAAACGTGCGTCTCTCTGATTGCCCGCTACACAGAGTACTTCGAGCGCAACGTTTCTGAGCTACACCCCGTGCTGAACTTCATCTTTGGCGTGGTCGGAGAACATGCAATGGCCAACGCCGCAGCAAAGTCCATTCACAGGTTATGCGGTTCCTGTCGCGGATATCTTCATACAGAAGCCAACAGCTTTCTCAACGAGTATCAGAGCCTAGTATCCGGAAGACGGCTTGACTGCGGCGCTAGCGAGAAGGTAGTCGGTGGTATTGCATCAGTCATTCAAGCGATGCCTGATTCAAACCCGAAATATTCAGCGTGTGGTCGCCTTCTCGAGTTTGTTCAGACTGATGTCCAGCGTTCTCTGGACCTTCTAAGATCCTACGACGGCAGCCCTATGCCATGCTGTGCTGTTTACACCTGCTCATATGCTGCCCCTGATGAGAGTCCTGCCCTTCACACCGCACTGAAGTCTCTGAGATGCCTGGCCAGCATTGGGAAAGGTCTCCAAGCCCCAGCCGAGCTATCAGTTGATCTGGAGAGTAGCAGGGCCAGCACTCTAGTCGTGGATCCTCATCTTGCTCAGCTTCAAGGAAGCATCATGTCGATGATCAGCCAGATTCAAGAGGCCTTCAACACCAGCGGTGAGGTTGTTGAGCTCATCTGCAGTGTCCTACGCAGTGGGTTTTCAGAATCTGAACCTGGTCCCTTTGTACTGCCACCACAGAGCGTTGCACAGTATTTGACGAACCAGAATCTTCAAACACCAAGAGTTGGCCTGCTCGTCAAGACTGCTTGCTCTTTCGTCAGCTCCCTTGAACATGATGGACTCGACAACCAGCAAGACATGTTAAACTCTGTGCTTCTCTGGGTAATTGGATTGCTCAAACAGCTACCCAGTAGGTTCCGCGACCTAGCGTTCCGTACTTAGCTAACCGTCAACTTTACAATAGACTACGAGGTAGACACCGAACTTACACAAAACGGCATTGACTTCGTAACACGCCTTTTAAACAAGCGCCCCATTACTTTACTTCGTCTCCAGCCTTCCGACGCTGCCGAATTCTTCTTTCTCTTCACCCTTCAGGTATTGGACGGAAAGGAGCCACTCCCGAAAGCAAGTGCAGCAGAGTTCTGGGTAAGATCGGCCGTTGACAGTTGGGCGCCATCACCAAAGCTAACATCAGGCAAACAGGCTACCTTTGTCAGCATTAAGTATGATTCTCAAGAACTCAATGATGTTGCCCAGCAAGCTATGCAAATGCTGGGACCTTTGCTCTCGCGGACTCTTGCTAGAAACCTTGGGGGCAATGCTTCCAGAAGTGAGCTTGACAAGTTGAGCGAGCCCCTCAAGAAGCTGGTATCTCGGTACCCCATGGCCAAGAGCTGGCTTGAGGCTGGTCTCACACATGAGACCTTTCCTAGTACAAAGGTTACCCCTCAGGACAAATCGATGTTCTTGAAGAAGATCATTAGGTACAGCATCCCCCCTTCTTTCAAAACGCCCTGCCTTGGAATATCCTCCACAACTGCCATCCAAGCTCCATTTCATTCTTTTATACAGTACTGACCATATCACAGTCTTAGGGGAGCCAAGGCGACAAATCAGGTTGTCAGAGACTTTTGGCAGTCGGCGCGAGGCTCAAATTTTGCTTACGCCTCATGAATAGAACAGGGGTTAAAATAATTCAATAGAAGGACAAGTTAGATCAAATACTAGGATGGTTAGAACAAAATGAACACATGAAGATACCTTGGGCATGAGAGTTTGGGGACATTGCTTATCCTGCAAATACATATCATAATATGGAAAGATGAATCTTCACAAAATGATCTTCATATTAACTTCATAACGATCTTGGTGTGATCAGTTGGGTGCGTTGATCTATTAGTATCCCGCTACCATCTCTTTTAAAAGACACAGCTCGTCGTCTCCTAACCATAGTTTTCAAAGCAGCAAGTCTAATGTACAAATGATTTACGTGGAATTTTTTTATAGCCCAACAGCCTCTCGGACAACCTGCATGGTTTCCTTAGCACTTTTGCGTGCCTTTTCAGCGCCAATCGCCTCGATCGAATCAAGGTACCCATCCCCCTTTTTCAGCAGCTCAGTATATCGGTCCCTAATCCCATCTAAACCACCAATGACGGCATCACTAACCATCTCCTTGAGCTGCTTCGGTGAAAGATCATTGTACTGCTCTCCAAGCTCTTGGGCCTTTCTCCCCTTGGGATCGAAAATTGCCATGATGTCCAGCAGATTCGAGATTCCTGGTCGTTCTTCTCTGTTATAACTTATCCCTGGGATGGAGTCTGTTGTTGCAGCTTGGATTTTGGCCTTGATCTCTTCGGGGCTATCGATGATGCCAATGCGTGATTTGGGTGACTTGCTGGATTTTGACATTTTCTCTGTTGGTTTCTGGAGAGACATGACTCTTTGGACAGGGGCTATACGCGACTTTTCAGTTTGGGCTAGAGGATGGAAGGTGGGAGCTTGAACTTACAGGTGGTAGTTTGAGGAGATACTAGATGGTTTCCATAAGCTGCGTTGAAGTTTGTTACACACTCTCGCGCAAACTCAAGATGTTGTCTCTGATCTTCACCAACGGGAACATGAGTTGCTCTGCAGATATGAGTGTCAGCCTATCCTGTGCTATGCTGGGAATGAGTACACCACGAACCTGTGTACAAGAATATCGGCAGCTTGAAGAACGGGATATGAGAACAGGCCGAGCTTGAGATTGCTGGCTGCTTTGTCGTTCATGTTCGACTTGTCACTTATATTGAGTTTGCTCTGAATGAGAGTTAGCATCGACGTTGACATCTTTTGGCATATACACTGACTTTCCACTGTGTCATTCTTGACAGATATCCAACGGATGCTGTACAGCTGAGAATCCACATGAGTTCTGAATGAGCGGGCACCTGCTCACGATATTAGTGACTGTATGATCAAAGGTGTAAAGAGATCTTACAGAAGACTGATAGAACAAAGTCACTTTCTCAGGATCAATGCCGATGGCCAACAAGGCAGCTAATGCCTCCCTCTTGCTCTTTCTTAGCACATCCGCCGGCTGAGGTGTTGTGATGGCGTGGAGATCTACGATAGAGTAGATGAGTTTGTCTTCTGTATGGCTTTCTTGTAGCTTAACCCATTGTCGAAGTGCGCCTGCATAATTTCCTAGGTGAGGTATGCCCGTTGGTTGGATGCCCGAGAAAATCACTCGAGGTTTTGTGATTGCTGATTTCAACATGTTTGATGTGATGCTCAATGAGAGGAATTGAGTCTGTGGGTCAAGAGAGTCTAAGTGAGGTTGAGGTCGAGATTGAGACTGAGGTTGAGTCGTGAGTGGTTCGAGATTGTGTATGCATCTACCGGGGCGCCTTGCTTCGCGTTGTGAAAAAGCTCAAGAATGCCGGCAACGACCGAAAGATGAAGAGATGAAATGATTATAGCAGTTATTACTATTTAATACTATAATTGGAATCGTGGGGCAATTGTTTGTTGGTTGACGCTGATGGCCGCGGTAATCATATCACCAAATCTGAATTTTGGAAGCACCATCATAATATGATAACTCGATGGGGGCAACAAACAAATGACTTAGTAAAAGCTTCACTCCCTTCAATATTGGGAGATTACTTTTGTCATTCCAAAGCGTTGATTTTACAAGATTGGAGCCTTCTATGGGCTATTGTACACATAAAGTCCTTCTTCTGTCTATGCCAAACAAGACGGCTACTTCTCAGGGCCAGAGACGAGGACTTCAAACTCATTCCATATGTCTTCAACTCCCTCTCACACGCTCGTTGTAGGAGGAACCCTAAGACCAGCAGCTTCGCGGAACCTCCGCTGGTTAAGCAACTCCTCAACCTTTTCCACCGTGCCAATCGTCTTTGTCTGTCCAAGATGCGACCACTTTGCATCAATCTCACCCTTCTCCGCCTCCGGCAGCGCATCCATCTTCTTCCCAACGCCCAGCTCGCTAAACTCCCACATGTTGGCCTTCATTCCCACGCCGTAGAGCTGGTGCTTGCGCAGGTACGCCAGCCACAGCTGCACCGTCTCGGGGTTCCCATCGCGGATCTGGATAAGGCGTCGCAGTGTCTTCCGCTCAAAGTTCTCCTGCGACTTCTTGAAGATGAAGTTGTCTCGGGGGACGGTCCAGCGCTCTGTGATGCGGGGGAGAGGCACGGGGCCGTAGGCGGGCAGGCCGAGGTAGTAGGCGGCGCGGAGGGCAAAGTCGGAGAAGAATTCGAGGGGCTGGACGCTGTAGGATCGGAGCTGGAGATCGCACGAGGGGATGCCGTGCTCGGCCTCGCGCTTTAGAGGCTTGAGGTGTAGGGCTTGGATGGAGCGAGGGAATCGAGGTTCAGGACCTTTTTCTGGTTGAGACTCCTCCACTTTGTTTGGGATCAGATCTCCTGGCTTGGCCCTAAATCAGTCAATATTTATGGTCGTGCAATCGATCGTCGTGGCGAGTTGATATTCGGCGAGGAAGACGTACAGTGAGGCCTGTGTTCGGCGGGCAATCCATGACACCTCGGACTGGCACAGATGTTAGCTGACGAGCCAATTGAGAGTGTTTTGGTCGTAGATTTCATACCGAGAAAGCCCGCAAGGGTCTTATACTTTGGCGCATCATCTTGCCTGCCTGTCGCTGGGCGTCGATCGATAACGATGATGCTCGAAAATTGGTTCGAGATGTGTACGGGTGGAATATCAATTATCCCCACCCAGAAAATCGTAGGATCCACACTCTAAGCGCGCGTGTATGCGACTAACAAAAGAAATACTCTCAAGTTGGCAGCTTTCAGGTTGCTAAGTATTTGAATGAATGGTTATTAATACATTTGACCTGAATTCAGGGGCCAAGCATCAAAGTCTTCGTATCCCATTTACATAGACATCCCCGAACAGCATCAAGTATCTCCCCAGTCCCTCCTCACACATGGCACATTCTGCTCTTTATATGTAGGTACATGGATTAACAGCACAGCTAAATAACAAGCCATAGGCCTCTTTCACATGGGTAATCTCATCACCTCCTCCTTGGTCCAGTATTTCCTCATATTATTCGCCCCCAACGTCTCAACCTCTTGGTCCAGATGCTTCCACAGCACCTCGCCCCAAGTCTCCATCTTTGTCTTGAGCACGCTGAGTTCGAACTCCTCGTCTCCCGTCCTGCATTTCTTGAGGTATTCCTCGAAGTGATCCAGACCTGCATGGATCTGCTTGTGCTGGCGAAGAAGTTCGGCGCGCCCTCCTCGGAACTCGGGCATCTTCTTAGCTAGCACGGGGAAGATGTATGTCTCCTCGATGTTGTGATGCATGGTGAGATGCTCAGCGAATTGGAGACCTTCCATGATAAACTGCTTTAGTGACATGCCCTGGGGTCGACGGTTGTTGGTACAGGCATTCCATAGGAGGTTCCATGATCTTCGAAAGTTGTTGTGCTGAAGTACAGTACATTAGATAAACAATGACTTCTATTATATATGGAAGTGAGACTTACAAAATATTCCATGTGGTCGGCCGCCCGGTTATAGATCTTAAACTCATGATCAGACAGCGGTGGTAACTCCTCCTCCGTCCTTGTCTCAGCATTCTCCACAGGCTTTGCCTCCTCTTGAGGTTTTGATTCAGACATGACTGTTTGCTGGTGTTTACTTGGAGATACGAAAGAAGCAGTCGAAATATGAGATTTCGCGGATGTAGCCACCCGAAACGAAAACAGCCCAAGTGGCAACGTCTGAGAACTGATCTTGTTTAAAGGTATAACGTTTTTACAGTGTTGCAACCGCCAAATGGCTCTCATTATTGACAAAAAAAATATTAGGGGAAAAAAGGACAAAGACATGGAAAATCTCCCTAAAATATACAAAAACAGAAGAGTCTACCTCATGATGTCTCCAGATTGGGAACACTTTGGACCACTCACAGGCCGTCCATATCCGCAAGGGAAAAAGTCGACGAGATTGGAAATCGCTGACTGATGGAATCGGTCTTGATCCGCGCGCCAATTTAGTCATCCCGTCCGTCTCGCTCAACCTCGAAAGTCCGAAACTCCAGGTAAGAGTCGTTAGCTTCGGAGGTGGAACTAGAGTATTATATCCAGGGCGTATTAGATCTTGTCTCTATCTCTTCATAGTCAGTGGCCAATTTGGTGTACAATGATCTAATGTGCAAGCACCCCAACTTCATATCTTCACTATCTATAGACCCTGACACAGGACATACAAGTCGGTTGTGCAGCTCAAATAACTTTCATCTCATGGATTCGTTCGTTACAGTAAAGACTTTTGATCTACTCTTCCTGTCATCTCTCATCTCATCTCATCTCACAGCATAGCACCAGCACCAGCACAAGCAATGTTGACGAGTTCTATGTATCCATATTCCGTTTCGACCTAGTGACACGTAGCGAGTGCTTCCGCATCTTCGCCCCTTTTCATTAAAAGAAACCATCCCATGCAAAATGCAAACGACTAAGACGCCTCATCTCGTTCATTCCCCAATTCCTAACCCCGGACAGCCGCTCCCAGCGCACCTCCTGTGAACTGTGTTCCACCAGCTTGTCGCTGCGTGTTGCCACCTGCTCGCGCTCCTCCTCGGCCCTGTCCGCCACCCCGTCTCTGTCCTCCTCGGCCTCGGCCTCCTTGTCGCTCGAATGCGTTTGAAGTTCCCTGTGTCTTTTGCTCTAGAGTCCGCTCGTTGCTCTCGATGAGCGCGCTGGCCTTGTCTGATAGGGCGAGAGCAAGCGATTGGAGACGGCTGAGCTCGACACCCTTGCGGAAGATGACGGTGGATGTGACTTGGTCCAGAGAGGCAGCGAGCTCCTCGTGGCTGATCATCTTGCTGATCACTGCCGCAACCTTGGTCGAGTCAAGCTCGAACATGGCGCTGAGGGTCTCGATGGAGAGGGTGTCGTAGAAGGGGGCGTAGGTGAAGAGGTAGGTTCGCAGACCCTCCTCCTGGATCTGCTTGGAGAGCATGGTCTTGATCTCCTCAGCGCTAGGCATCAAGTCCCAGATCTTGATGCTGTGGATGAAGTCAATCGACTTCTTCCACTCACCAGCAGCCAAGGCCTTGGACGCTTGCATCACGTGGTCGCGGGTGTTCTCAGGAGGACCAGTGAAGATTTGCCTCTCATGGTACTCCAACATACGGCGGTAGGTCTTGCTGATCACTCGCTTCTTGACATCAGGAGATGAACCAGTCTGGGCCAGCAGAGGGATCTCGAGGAGCATGCTGCATGTCAAGTACACACACTCGAGGAGTTCGAGGTTGATGTGCATGTGGAAGGGCAGTTGTCGCTGCTTCTCAAGGCGCTCCTGCTCAGGAGACACTTGGTTGTATCGCTGCATCATGACACCCTGAGCGAGCAACTCCTTCTGGCGACCACTGCCGCAGATCTCCTGGAGAGTGTTCTGGGCTTCGTAAACAAGACCCTTGCGGAAAGCACAAAGACCAACTTGCACCAGAGTACGGTTGTAAAGAATTTGGCTCTGCACATCGAAATTGGGGATGTTCTCCTGAAGATGGGACATCAACATCATATCACGGGCCTTGTAGTACTCGCCGTGGAGGGCGAGGAAGTAAACCTGGCACAGCATGGCTCGGGCACGGATAATACCGTCGCTGTTGCTGAACAGGTAGTTGCAGAGAACATTGACGAGGTTGCCAGCGTTCTGAGCTTGGTCGCGGGGGGTGATGACAGACTCGACGGTCTCGCCAACAACCTTCCAGCAGTTCTCCTCGAAGGTCTTGACAACTTGGGCGGGCTGAAGAAATGTTAGTTAATGTGAAAACAGGTAGAAGAAAAGGCTGGGAAATTACCTTGAAGTAGACGTGTTCCAAACGGCGCATAACGATTCGGTTCACGCTATCTTGGGGGATCTCAAGAGAATCATCCTTTCGGAGGTACTCATAGTAGAGCAGGCCACGGAAGATGATGTTGTAGAGAGCACCCTCGTCCTGCAATCGCTCGATGTACTCGGAAGTATGAGGGTCAATGCTCTGGAGGGAGCGGACGAGCTCGTCATCAAGACGCTCGATGTAAGAGACAATGCTGCCAGGGACCTTGATGTGCTTCTCACCCTCCTGCAGGGTAGGGGGCTTGTCGTCGTCGTCCCACTCCTCAGCGTTCTCGACAACGACATAGTCGTGGTTGTCCTCGAGGACTTGGAGAAGGCTTGAGAGCTCCTTCTCAGCAGCCTTCCAGTGCTCAACAGACATGGCAGCAGCGCCGCCAGAGCCAACATCGAAGCGAGTAGAAACCAGGGTAAGGAGAACACGGATCTTTTGGTAGGGGGTGGTGGCGATCTCGTGGAGCTTCTCCATAGTCTTGATCTGCTCTGTTCGGTCGGTGTTCTTCTTTCCTCGGGACTCCATAATGGTTCGCAGGTGCTTGAAGATGCTCTCGGGGGTGTACTGGAGTGTGCGTCCACCCTTGCCGACAGTAGCGAAACCATCGTCGTCGCCCTCCTCGGTAGGAGCAGCGTCGACCTGGAGAGAAACCTTCTTGGGCTTGGGAGCAGGGGCAACGGGCTCGTTGTCTGAGGACTCCATGAAGCCATCCTTGTCCGCTCGGTAGGCATCGATCTGGGTCTGGTATTCCTTGTTGGTCTTCTTGACCTTTTGCTTGACGGCGTTGAGGGATCGGGCTTGGATGGCGTTCATCTTCTTGGGGGTGACCTTCTGCTTGGCGAGGGACTCGTTCATAAAGTCCTCGAGCTCGGCGAGGATACGGATGTAAGGCTTGGGGGGTCGGCTGCCAGGCAGCTTGGCGACCTGACGGTTGAGCTTCTCATATTCTGAATATTTCTATTAGTATTTTGGACCAAATAATCGGCAAGAAAAAAAAAACTCGACAGTGTTTCTCGTACCGGCAGAGATGAGTGTCCAGTCGCCGTTCTTTTGACCGTTCTCGATTTGCTTGATAGATGATTCTAACTCATCCAGGCGCTTGTCCTTGGCGGACTTGACTTTGGCTCGTACTTCATCGTCGCTGTCTTCGCTATCGGAGGATGCGTCCTTCAAGAACTTGTTGATTCCTCGGCCGCCCTCGTCGTCGCTGCTCGAGTCGCCGTCGCTGTCGGCCTCGGAAGAATCCTCCTGGGAGTCTTGCTGCTCCTCCTCTTCCTCCTCCTCGGAGTAGAGCTCCTCCTCGTCGCTGGAGCTGTCGCTAGAGCTGTCGTCGCCGCCGCGGAAAAATCGAGACATGCTGGGCAAATTCTTTGACACTGAAACTTGTCTGTTGGGCTGGCCTGGCTCAAGTCAGTGGGCGGGGTTGTTCCTTCCAAAAACAAAATTCATTCAGTGTGGGATGTTAGGGTGGGGCTGGGGCAACCGAGCTGATAGGCGCACAGCCACAGATTGGTTGTAAGTGGCTGAGATGACATGAGTCACAAGCTTCGAGTTGAGTTGTGAGCATGAGCTTTGAGTAGTTTAAAGGTATCCATTGATCATGCTATTTGGTAGAAACTATCAACGATGAGAGAATAGTAATTACAGTGTTCAATGGAGTTATGCGTAACCAGCCGAAAGTCTGAAGCCATCTTCTGTGCCCTCCCGTTTTTATACACGGTATAAATTCTTTGACAAACTTTACCGCAGCATAAGAAAAATGTATCAGTAACAAAAAGCAGATGATGGATCAACAGAGCCTTCACCAGGTTAGTAAAATTCAAGGGATTAATGTATTCTTATCATAATGTTGTCATATAAAGATTTCTGCATTGGTGAGCCTCGGAATACAACGGCGGTAAAAGAGACTTATCCGTCGTTGAGCCGGACCTTGCCCTCCAGGTTCTCTCGGTCTCCGGGCCGTAGAAGAATTTCGAGGTCCGGGAGGCAAGCGGAATCGGCCTGTGACATGGATTTCTCAGCATAGATGCGCTACGTAATTCCACTTCCCTCCAACATCATCTTTACAACCTCAATTCCTTCAAATTGTTACTTTCATAATGGCTCGAATCCACTGCGCTAATGCGCAATCGACCGCCACTTCTTTTATTCAACTTGCACGACGAAGCTACACAACGACGCCCCAGACCTCAACGCCTCTCGAGTTCCTTATTCCACGATGCACTCCCTCATCTCGACTACGAACCCCTCATATCACCATTGCGCAATCCAGAACATATGCTCGTCCGAGACGGTCGTGGGACGTTAAGTCAAGGGAAACAGCTACGAGGCAATTCTCGACTACTGCTATCAGACAGAAGACACGGGCTATATTGAATCCCCAACAAGATGAGGATGGCAATGAGATGATGCTGGAAATTACTGAACGAGCTGCCAAGGTAATTGCAAGAAGGGAAGATCCCATGGAGGCACTGCTGACTCTCAAAGCGTCTCAACAAGATCATGGAAAAGGATGGCAATCCGAATCTCGCCCTAAGGATCCAAGTCGAGAGTGGTGGTTGCCATGGCTTCCAATATCTCATGAGCCTTGTTACTTTACCAGCCAAGGACGCCGCCGAGTGGTCATCCATCGTGAACGAGGACGATACGATTTTCCAGTACATTCCCGATGACGCTGATCCGGCCACAACCTCGGAAGAGGGCCCTAAGATCATTCTCGATGAGCCATCTCTCGATCTCCTCAAGGGCAGCAAAGTCGACTTTACAATGGAGTTGATCGGCTCGCAGTTCAAGATCATTGATAACCCACTTGCTACCAGCAGCTGTGGTTGTGGCACAAGCTTTGATATCAAGATGTAGAATACTCAACCTTTAGAGGCCTGGAGATTCAAGATCCATAGATTTAAAAGTGGTTCTCCACATGTATAATTGGCATTATTAATACCCCTCCCATGTATGGCGAGAATGCAGACGGCACGTGAGAAAACTTTTCACAATTGCTTCACATCACAGGATGTCACTGATAGAATAATTTGAAAACTCGGGTGTCATTAATCACGGTATCAATTGCCATATCCCCTGTCATGATAAGAACGCCGAGCAGTCAAATGCAAATCTTTTTTGAATCCGTTAGGTCCTAACGACCGATCCCTTAAAAGCCATTTTTTAGAAAACCAACGCTTAGTTCATCTGGCGGACGAGAGCGTTGATAGCCTCCTCGCGGTTACCAAGGTCACCACCCTCGATGAAGTGCTTGAACTTGCGGGGGCGGAAGCCACCAGTGGGGTTGGAGAGCTTGAAGGGCCAGAGGAAGTTGGAGGCCTGCTTGAAGTTGGGGCCGACAGTGTAGATCTCGTGGATGAGATCCTCAACACAGACAATGCCATACTTGCCGAGGTTCTCCTCAACGATGGCGTTGTCGGTGAGGGCAACACGCTGCTTGTTGACCTTTCCGTAACCACGCTTGTAGACGAGCTCCTTGACGGTCTTCAGGTTGGGGTAACCGTAGGCGATCCAGGGCTCGACGACCTTGAGCATCTCAGTGATGGCCTTGGTGACCTTGACGAAGACACCGTTGTTGATCTGGAGGAGACGGAGGAGCTGGAGGATCTTGCGGGGCTTGGGGGGCATCTTGTTGATACCCTTGATGCGGACGACGAAGATCAGCTTAGCCTCGGCAGGGACGAAAGCAGAGTCCTCGGCCTTGGCGACGCGGTGAAGACGGATCTTCTCACGCTCAGCATCACGGTACTCCTGGACGTACTTCTCAGCACGCTTGAAGATGACCTGACGCTTCTCCTTGTTGGCCTATTTCAAACTGGTCAGTCCATGTCTCGCAAGTGGTTGAAGAAATGATTGGAATCAGTCAGGCAATGTCAGACCCGAAAGAAGGTTAACTATCAACAGCATCGACCGGAGTCTAGTTGATGAATGTATGTTTTCCATCATAGTGCCAGAGTAAAAAGAGGATAGTACTTACAGCCTTCTTCTTCTCAATGGCGTCGGTGCGCTCAGCGCGGGCCTTCTCCTGAGACTTGCGCTTCTTAAGAAGGGTCTCGGGGACCAGGATCTGGTCGTTGGTAGGAACGCTATAGAATCAGATTAGCTCGCAGTCCACGATACCACAGGACGTGGTATGGAACAGAGCGCCGGTGCGAGAACTGTTGCAATGCAGCATTCTCTGCTTGGCTAACTCGAAAGATGTTTTTAATCGGTGAGCTGGAAGACCATGATACGAGGATCGAGGTGATTTCCTTGACCGCTCATCCGACAACGCCTCAAACATAGAGTTCAAGAAAGATATTCGAAGAATTGGTCTGTGGTGCGTATTTCAGCGACCGCGTGCAATTCGACGATAATGATTTTGGGAAAGAAGAGTACTTTATCTTCATCTCCAACACCCCAAGCAACATCTCTCAATGCCCAAACTGTGTTCCAAGCCTAGGGACAATTGAGGGAGAAGCTCAAGAAAGATCGAGCTGGCGGTCAACGACTCAATTCAGAGACCGCGACTTTCCAGCGAGAGGACCACGGCAATCCGCAAAGCAAAAGAAATCTCGAGAACCAGGGCATCTGCCCATATCGACCACGTCCTCAGAGAGGAATCACATACGTAGCACCCATTTTGTCGGCGACGGCTGTTGGAGAGGTCGGTTAGTGGTTGTCGGTCAGAAGCGTGGGTTGAAGGAAGGGAACGCCAGCCTTTTTGCTAAGAGAAATTTTCAGCCGAAATTTCCGGTGGGTCCCTGTAGGGTTTAGCAAGAACTGCCAATTCTGCCACGTCTCACCGCCCCCGCAGTCCACCGAATTTTTGGTGCGGCGCATCCAAATAATATTTGGAGATCCTCATTCTCAACCGCCAAGTGACGAAATAACCAGCAGTCGCCCATCCCTTCAAAATGGCTCCCAAGAAGACCACCACCCGCGCTCCCCAGGAGAACATCTCCCTCGGACCCTCCGTTCGCGATGGTATGCGACCACCCCTGGACGAATTTCGAGCAGATTGAGGAAGAGATCATGGACTAACGAAAATGTTTCAACAGGCGAGCTGGTCTTCGGCGTTGCCCGTATCTTCGCCTCCTTCAACGATACCTTCGTCCACGTCACCGATCTGAGGTTCGTCAGCCCATGAATAAGGAACATGAAATTTGGAGGAGAAAATTGCTGTGTTATATGGTTCAATGAGGCTAACTTGGGTGATTCCAGTGGCCGTGAGACCATCACCCGTGTTACTGGTGGTATGAAGGTCAAGGCCGATCGTGACGAGTCCTCCCCCTACGCTGCCATGTTGGCTGCCCAGGACGTCGCTGCCCGCTGCAAGGAGCTTGGCATCAACGCTCTTCACATCAAGATCCGTGCCACTGGTGGTAAGTTCAATCGGGAGTACCCCTCACTCAGACAGTCATCCTAATTCACATGCAGGTAACGGTACCAAGACCCCCGGTCCCGGTGCCCAGTCCGCTCTCCGTGCCCTCGCCCGTGCTGGCATGAAGATCGGCCGAATTGAGGACGTTACCCCTACTCCCTCCGACTCTACCCGCAGAAAGGGTGGTCGCCGTGGTCGTCGTCTCTAAGCTGCTCGCACATGGGTGGCTTGGATCGGACAGGAGATTCGCTATCTGGTTTCTCTGTGGCGTTGAGAATCACGAGGAGAACGGCTTTTTCGCCTGGTCTCCAGTCTACACTGCAGAGCCTGGTCAGGTTATGGGTTAGGACGCAGTAGACAGTTATGAATTCGCCCGAAGAAGGCCTATGAATCATCCTGCTTGTCAGATTTGTTCCATGATGTGATACTTTGCAACTGTACGGTTGACGACTTATGATGTAGTGAGATAAAAGCAATTGTATGCATTTATAAGCCGCTATGTCTACGATATGCGATCTTGATCCCTGAACTCCTCGCCAAATCATGCCTTGTTCATCCCTGTTATTTTACACCTGGCTTGAGTGTCCAGATTCCTCTACCGGCACCTCCAGTTTTGTTCAATACTGCAACCTTATCTAAAGCTGCTTTGAACTCATCGCTCTGCTTCTTGCCTGGGCAGTAGGGGTTGAAGTGGTCTACCAACATCTTGCTGGGGACTCGACCGTTGTGACGGTTGATGAATGTTTTGATCATGGCCACAAAGTCTTTAGACTTTAAATTCTTATCTGCGCCAGGAGTTCCTGAACGAGAACTTCCCCCACTCCCTGTATCGAGACCTTGACGGTCTGCCAAGTTACTCATGATGGCTGCTGAGCTTGGTCCTCCACGGCGACGGTTAGCCCCAGGACGGCCAGCCTGCCCGACCTCACCAGTCCATGTAACAGTGCCTATGGGAACTCTTCGCGCCTCTGCGCCAGCTTGGCGGAGGTGTGCCGCAGCCTGGCGGGCTACCATATTTGCTTCTTGTTGCAGAACAGAAATGTCCGCCTGTGCTTTCTGAGGCCCGTTCACAATAGCCTCGTGGTCGTAGGCATTGTTGACCGACTTTGCGAAGATACCGTCCAACATGCGCTTCTCATCGTGGACAGACTTATCTTCTCGGAAGTCTTCCATAGCAGCTACCAGTCCCATCTGCCGGAGCTCTTTGCTCTCCACGTCTGTTCCGCCTGCCACATTCTGAGCTGGTTCTGACGTTTGCTCCTGTTCGCCATCGCCGGAAGGAAGTTCAACTTCTGCTTTCTTGAAGAGCTCGCTTCGGTTGGCACTCGCATCTTCTCCTGTGTTGTAACTGAAGAGATCGTAGAGGTCTGACAGGTCATAACTGCTACGCTGCTTTGGATCCTTCAGGACTTTGTTCGTCATGAACTGCTTGAAAATCTGGCGGTGATATATCTTCTCTTCGATGGTCCCTTCCGTCATAAGTCTGTAGATTTTTACCGGCTTCTTCTGACCGAGTCTCCATGCTCTTTCTCGAGCTTGGAGATCTGTTGAAGGGTTCCAGTCAGGGTCAAAGATGATGATGCGATCAGCACCAGTGAGATTAGTTCCTAAACCTCCGGTGCGAGTTGTCATGAGGAAGACATGAATATCCGGACTTTCGTTGAATCTATCAATCATTGGCTGGCGCTGGTCGACGGGTGTCTCTCCATCCATTCGCACATAAGAGATTCCACATTCGCTGATGCACTTCTCGATAATGTTCAACATTTGTTTACCTTGTGAGAAGAGGAGCGTCTTGTGTCCATTGGGGATCATGACCTTTTGCAGCAGATCTTTTGTGAGCTGCAGTTTCGCAGATAGCTTAGGGTTCCCAAAGTCGTAGCCTGCCTTCTTTCCCAGAGTCTTGTCTAGCAGATCTGGGTGGTTACAGATCTTGCGTAATATGTCAATGCCATAAAGTGATTGTCGCCTTCGATTCAAGATGGCCGAGACCTCATCCGATTTGATGAAAGTCTCATACGCCTTATGTTGGCCATCAGTTAATTTGCAAAACAACACTTGCTCCGTCTTTTCTGGGAGATCGGCGGCGACATCGACCTTTAGGCGCTGAAGTAGATATTCTCCAATGGTTTCTTTAAGTGCTTCCGCGCATTTCTCTGCTGTCATGACCTGCAGATTGGATGCGTTGGCATAGCCACCTTGACGAATTGGGATCTCGAATTGTGCTCTGAAATTGACGAGGGTTCCCAACCGCATAGGATAGATAAAATCAAAGAGCGACCACAGTTCGGTCAAGTTATTCTGGACTGGTGTTCCTGAGAGAATAACACGATTCGGCGTGTTGAGTTCTTTGCAGGTAACAGTAATTTCGGCGTTTGGGTTGCGAATTTTGTGTCCTTCGTCCAAAACTGCGTAGTCCCATTCAACTGGCAGCAAAGTCTCGGCATATGTCTGAAGGCCAGTGTACGTCGTTACCAAGACATGCCCACTCTTGACGACTCCGTTGACGATTCTTTGAGCAGCCTTTTCTGACTTGGTGGCTAAGGGCTGGAAATGATCCAGATCATACTCGTCTTCGAACTTGGGATTCATCATACCACTGCCAGAAGCGTGCAGGATGGACACACGAAGTGGTGGCCACCAGCGGTGAAATTCACTCACCCATTGTCGCAGAAGTGTAGCAGGCGCAACAACAATGACAGGACGGCGTAGCTTTTTGCTGTAGTGAAGAGCTGCGATGAAGGCAATAAGCTGTACAGTCTTTCCCAGACCCATCTCATCACCAATGATGCCTCCGACGTTCTGCTTATAAAGTTCGGCAAGCCATTGTACGCCTGTTTTTTGGTATCCAAAGAGCGACGGGTGAATATCCCCAGGCAGTTTCAGATCATCGCCAAAGTTGTAGTCGGGAAAGTCAGGGGCTGGTTTGAACCATTCTTCTTCTTCATCGTCGCTCTCTCCTGCATCAGTAGACATGTCGACTGCTTGCTTCCGAGCCCTCCGTGCACGACTTCTTCGAGTCACCCAGTCGTTCAACCGGGCCTTGAAATGGGCTTCATTGCCATCGTCGATCTTACTAAGATCGATCTGCTCTTGATCGGCAGCCTTAGCCTTGGCTTTGTTCTGACGGCGTTGCTCTCTAATTAGATCATCCTCGTTCCCTTGCTTCCAGACATCATCATCGTGAGATTCAGAACCGGATGCTTCGGGTTCAAAATCCGCAGACGGGCTACGCTCCTTTTGAACGCGACGTTTTTTCCTTGGCCTTAACGAGAACTCACTCTCAACAGCTGGGGCTGGTTGAGGGGGTTCAGGTTCGGAATCAAGCTCGTCAGCAAATCCAGGTCTGCGAAGTCGTTGATGCGAAGCAGGCCCTTCAAGCTCTCCTCCAAGCTGTTCAGCTGCTGCCTCTTCTTCTGCATCCAGAATTGTATCGGCGAGTTGGCCTTGAATTCCTGCAGGTCGTGGTCCTCCAATCTTGGCAAATGGTGTAATCTTTCCGGTTCGAATCAGAAAGTCACGGTGGCTTTCACCGGGAAGCCTGGTAGATTTGGACTTAGTTGAGTCATCCACAGAGCTTTCTTCATGACGCTTCTTTATTCGTGCCTGGAAATCAGAGATGTCGTTGCTAACTTGTCTAATTTCTTCATCGAGTTTTGCGATTTCCTTCTGGATGTTCCGAGTTTGGTAGACATTACTGTGAGCAAGTTTCTCTAGGCGTTTCTTCTCTTTGTCCAGTTGAAGCTGAAGCCGATGCTTGGTGGCTTCCAACTTTTCGATGCGGTTTTGATCCTTCTTGTCCTCAGCTTCGTTGAGCGCAGCATTGGCTTGGAGTGTGATGTCGCGTTCAAGATCATTCTGATCTCTTACGGTGCCAGTCAAATTGCGCAGCGCATCTTCTTCATTGAGACCTTCGGTGTTCGGCTGCTCTTCTTTGTCTTCATCATCTTGAGATGCGCTTTGTTGTGCAACAGCAACCATTCGATCAAGAAGTGCTGCTTTGTCGACTTCTCGATTATCTGAGACCGTATCTTCAGATACCATGGTGAAGGGCGTGCTGGTTGCAGAGTTCACAAAGTTGCACTTCTCGTGCTCTCGGGTAAGGAGAGAGCGAGTAATCGGTTCTGCGCTTTACAAAATGAGAATATAGCCGGGTATGGTGAGTTAGCGCTGATGAGTCCTCATCCTCATGATTCAGCGAAAGCCTGAGATGGGTTGAAACTTCTGGGTAATGACAGGAGGTTGAAAATGTGCGTGAATGAGAATGCACCGAATTTGTATGGATTACGTTGCACTTGATTACGCGCTTCTAGCTTCGTTGAAAGACCTTAGTGGATCTGAAAATTCATCTGAGGCTGGAATCCTGGAGGGAAAAGTGAGGAATGATAATATCAATCAGTTGCGAAAAGTTGAAGTCGCCTTTTTACGCAAATAATAAGCTGTAATGACGTCGAGGAAGTGAAGATGAAAGACGAGTCTAGGCTGCAGGGCGTGCTAAATTTCGAGAGAAACGTGTGCTGATTGGTACGCACAGGAATCCAGGCACCAAGCGGGTCTCTGTTAATGGAAATCGATGTGCACCTCAACTGAGGTGCCTGAGGTAGAATTACCAGCAACAACTATTAGTTTATGCTTACTGTTGTATCTTCTTTCTTGTATCCTTCATCTACACTGAAGTATGTTTCAACTGAACCATAGTTGGGCACTTCTCATCTGTCTAAGTTCAGCTTAGGCATGGGCTGTTGAGACCGCTTCACGGCTTCAAGCGTGTTGGAAAGACACTTCGAATCGTAATTTATTGTAGCTTATGTAGCAACATTATGTCGGTACTTACTATACTAAAGTAGTTCAATTTGTTTTGTAAAGATCTCGAGTCTGAATTACAGTTGCTAGTTTGCTTGGCTGTCTTGGAAATACAGTGTAATTACCTCGACCTTGTTACCTACACTGTGAGACCAACTCCACCCGCCCCAGCATTGAGTTCAGATCACCACCTTCCTTATTTTTAACCACATCCACAATGAGTTGCATATAGTCGAACCATAACAAATCGACATTTTCTGGGCTATCCCACTATCCAAACTCAATAGAAGCTACGTTTTCAATATCGGTCCGATAAATCTCTCCCAATTGGGTCCCGTCTTCAGCTTCCCAATGACAGCGCGTCTCCATCAGGAACATACGACACATCTAGCGCCTATGATCGACTGACAACAAGTCCATCTCGCTGCAAGTGCCGGCACTACCGGTCCTCGTATAATACAGTCAGACTTTCCAATCTATTAGGGTTCAAAATGCGGTCTATCTTCTTCAAATTTAATCAGTCTCACCGCCTCAAGATTGCTACCCGTCCACGCCGGATTTGGCCTCTCGCTTCAGTCGCTTCAGTCAGAATGTATTCTCAGAGACCCTCATGGCTGGAAGTATGTTGCAATGACGTAAGGCCGACCCCTACGCTGTTTGCATGGAACCTGTCAAACCTTGCTTCTTACGATGGTTCTGACCCTTCAACCTCGTCTGCTTCTGGTGATTCCGACCAGCGGATCTATGTCCTAGGAGTAGGTAACTTAGGCCGCCTCTTCGCAAGTTCACTGGCCCAAGCGCCTGACAGGCCCCCAATCACATTGGTTGTTCACAGAAAGGAGCTCTTGGAACAATGGATCGAGAGTGACGGCATTGAAATCTTGCGTCAGGACAAGCTGGAGAAGAACAAAGACTTCGATATCGAATGGTGGACAGAGAATGAGCCGGATTTTGGCCCAGTGCGAGAGGTCGCCGACGGCGAAAAGTTAAAGAACCTCATCGTTTTGACCAAGGCTTCGGCTGCCCTACCACAGGTTGACCGAGTTCGAGGATACCTGGACCGAAACAGCACTGTGTTATTCGCTCAAAACGGAATGTCGAAATTGTGGCCTCCTCATGGATCCTTATACGTTTCCCATCGCTATCATAGCAACCATGAGCCCAACTTTTTAGCTTGTGTCACAACACATGGAGTGACATCCCAGGGAACATTCAAAAGTTTTCATGCCTCCCAAGCTGATGTTGTCGTCGGAGCGGTTCTCCCGAACTCCATTTCGCTCGGGAAAACAGCTTACTTAGTCAAGCAGCTACTGGAAGCCCCTTACCTAGAGGCTAGGTCTGTGTCTAGGGGAGAACTTTGGATTCTGCAATTGGAAAAGCTCGTCGTTAACGCGGTAATCAACCCTTTGACAGCTATTCTGGGGTGCAAAAATGGAGCTCTATTCACTGAATCAGATGGAGTGCTCGCACGAGTCATTGACCAGCTTCTAAGCGAAGCAAGTCAAGTGCTCCAACTTCTAGTGGCCCACGAGAGTAGCGCAGAAATCATTGGACTGCAGGAAGGACGTCTACCAGACGAGCCTGAGACGACCATCGATCTCTCCCTCAAGAGCCTGCATGAAAGATTCTCCCATCCTCAGCTGAAGGACATGATCTATCGAGTGGGTCACAAAGTTGGGGAGAACACAAGCTCCATGCTGCAAGACGTGCGTGCCGGCAGATCAACCGAGATCAGGGACTTCAACGGCTGGCTAGTTGAGATGGCAGCCTTCCTAGACCCGGGACTAGAGGTTACGGGCCACGGCACCTTGGTCGAGCTGGTGGAGGCTGGCAGAACCCTAGATGTGGATCAACTCGGAAGTTGCTTCAACGGTTCCGGGACAGATGCAGGAAAATGATGACAGAGTCATGGCTATTGGAGATCCGGGGACGTGCCCTGCCATCGGTTGTGGTCAATCCAACTTCCCTCCGCACATTGGATGAGCATGGGCCATGAGTGTTGTCCAAATAGGCACCTGGCAGATTTTGGCTGACCAGGGTTGTGATCGGCTCCGGGCCAACGTCTGCATCCTTGCAAAAGAAGCCAGCACGAGATAATGAATTAACAAGGCTCACATCCGCATTGGGGGATATGTCCTGTCGCATTTGACAAGGCGACTGGGAATTCCCGGAAGTGGCGTGTTTCGTTTCGTTTTGTTTGGCTGCGTTTGTTTCTTCCTCGGTCTCGATTACCAGGGGTCTAAACTCAACCCAACTTATAAGACTCAGTGATATAGGCCATAAGACAGGTGGTTATCGACTCGCGCTAACCCTCTCGAAAACCGCTCTGCCAACCAGATGAAACAAACGTTTTAAAGCCCATCTCTCTCGTGGGGCGAAAAAGAAACATGCAGGCATCTTAACCAAGTTCAGCGTCGCAATGCATCATCACCAAACACCGCCGTCATCGACCCAACCTCCCTCTCCTCTCCTCTCCTCTCTATCCTATCCATCTCTGGCCGATGTGACCTGAAAACTCAGACCGTTATAGCCCTGGGATGGGTCAGAAAGTCTCGGTCGACGGGGGGTTGACAAATCCATGACCAAGACTGGAAGGGGGTGTTGTGCCCCAAGTTTTATCACGCATCGTCAGTGTAGCAACCGGGACTTGAAGCCAGTTTCAGGCCTAGTTTTTCACAGATCGGGCAGTCTGCTTTATGATATTATGCAGTACCTACATCAAGTCAACAACATCAGCCAGCCATAATGCCTCGCTTAGAGACTGCACATCGGAGATTTCAAAAGAGATGTTTCAGCGGCGGTAACCCTCTACGTTCCCCGGCTCTCCGACATGTAGGTACTGTTGTCTTGCCTGCTTCCTAGCTGTGATGAGACGTGGCACAGCTGCTGCTCTTTCATGCTCTCAGCTCTGAGATGACCTCGATAGCCGTGGTTCGACACGACCTCAACCCCGGCGCATGAAGATCGTCCAAACACAGCAAGCTACACGACTTACATCTTGTGTTACCTCCTCTCGCCCGCTGTAAGACTGCACTTGGCGTCGTGTGACCGCTCAACGCGTCTCTTACAGACGCGCGCTCGCACATGCATACATACTGTCCCATTCCTGCTCACCTCACAACACGTCACAATGAGACACCACGCAGCTCGTCACAGAGCCAGCACGCATTCGCACCCGCATATCTGAATAACTGTTACTTTTCGTAGCTCCAGCTCAAAAAACGCCATCGTTTAGCGCCGTGACTCGCATCCCATGCGATGTAATGCAACAAGTTAATCAGAACCAGGCGGGTCTCTCTCTCAAAGTCAGGCAAACAGCAAGCAACATCAACTCATCCCATCACAGCCAAGATCGGGCCTTCTGTACTCTTCTGGTCATATAGCCTGTCGACAAAGTATTAACATCACGAGGACACCGGTGGGATGGACTCGACCGCCTTAAAGCCACAGGTGACATGACACCCAAAGGGCCCTTTGCCCTCCGTTTCATCGGCTCCATCCGCTCACTGGCAGCCTTTCTTCATGGTTGGCCCCCGCCAGTCGGCAACCATGGCGATTGTGCCGTACAGCACCGTCTTTGTACAGACAGCTACGTGGCAAGGTCCCGCCTTACCCTACCTATATCATAACTGATCGCAGCGGCCCCCTATACATACATGCCTACATCTCATGGGCAGGGACGAGATGCATGGAGTGTGGCAGGGATTTAAAGCATAAACACTTTCGTTTCGTCTAGCTCAACTGTGGAGACCGGTTCCGGTGAGACAAAGCATACAGGGGGGTGCTCTGAGCCAGATCCGAGGGAACCTTTGCAGTTTGGGCGTTACCCGTTGGCTCGAGCCGGGGGGGGGCCAACTAAGCAAGCTTAGTTGGCCACAAAAAGGCAGGACAGTCACAAAACGGTGGGACACCCGTTGGGCCCGATTTTTGGTGTGTTTTGCGGCATTTTCAATGTATCTTTATTCTGAAGGCGTCAACAGAGGTGAAATTGCTAAATCAATTGAAATAAAGCTTCCTGTGATAATATATCTGCTATTGACTGTAACTGTAAGAGGGAAATAGCTGCAGCGGCAGCAAGCTTGCCTACCAATTAATAACGCCTTCTCTAGTAAATTAGGTGCTTTCCTGTCCTTCCTGAGGCCTGTGACTAGCTCCTATAGCAGATCTTTCTTCTTCAATAAGGGAAATAAGGGCATCGCGAAATTGGGCTTGGTGTTAAGCCAGGCATGGTGTTGAGGGCACCGTTAGAAGGGGGGACTCGTAGTCAGGCAGGCAAGGCGGCGATGAGGGCATCGCAACTTCCTCTTCTTCCGATAAATCGATAAGGCTATCTTCTTCGTTAAAATCGGCATCAGCTGGCGGTTACATAAGTTGAAAATCGACAGAGTCATCGCTGTTAAGAAGGCCGGTTAAATCTGCTGCTAAGAGAGGCTTTGCTGCAAAGCCGGCGTTGCAAATAGCCTCACGAGCTTCCGGGGCAAGCTAGGTATCAATCATAAAGTAATCTTCCTTCTTCTTCAGTTATAAGGATATCTCCGCTCGTGATGCATCAAGAGAAGCGTATTCTATATCTCTTTTGGTGTATTCAAGCCACTGTTTAAAGCGCATCTTCTTTTCAACGCCATCAACGATAACCTCCTTCTTTTACTGCCACTCAGCTTTTATCTCTTCCATCTGCCGGATTGCAAAAGATCGTATATTCCGAAGCTGAGATCTCTGCTCAGCCTTTGCTCCTACTTTAATAAATTCAGCCTGTTGTTCACGAAGCTCTTCTAAGCTTATATTATGAAAATAATCTCCTACCGGTTTTCCTCGCTTTCCACGCTTTCTCTGATGATATCTCTTTTCAATACGCTCCTGACGATTGGCAACGTGCTTTTTCACGATATCTTCAAGTACAATAGCTTCGCTAACAATCTTCTGTACAGCTTCAAGTCCCCGGCGCGTTGGGGAGCTTAGAATATCGTGATAGCGGTTGCTGACATCCCTTGCTGTATCAGAGGCCAAAGGGAAGCGATTTTCCGCCGGTAAAAGCGAAGATAGCGCCGGATCAATAGCCTTACAAGTCTTTAACTTCTTCTTCAGCAGATAACTAACCGCCGGCACCTCGGTTAGCGGGAAAATGCCTGACTTTTCGAAGCCGGCGATGATGTAGGCAGCTGTGAAGCCTTCTTCAAAGATCTCCTGATATTATGAGAATTAGTATATAAAAAGAGGGATCTTTTGGAGAAGATGTAAGCTGCTAACACATACCTTAAAGGAGCCTGCAAAGTCACAGCAGTTAAACGTCAGATTTCCCTTCCGCAAAGCTTCTCGCAGCCTTTTTTGGTATGCATTCTTTAACCACTGAAAAACGCCTAGGTCCATCGGTTAAAGTATATGTGTTAAATGAGGAAGAAGGAAAGCAACGAGGATATTGAATTTTATACAATATTCTCTGAAGGCGAAGGAGCCGTGACCGGAGAAGCCGTCGATTATGAGCAACCGCCATATGAGCTCTTCTTCCTCCTTTCCTTCTGTGCCCGGAGGCGTATCATATGGAGTAATAGGGTTGAATTCGCTTTTTAGGTGCTCATTACACCCAAACCACTGCTCAAAATCCAGCTGACGATGTTGTACAGTAGCAGATTTCTCCCAAGACCACCGGTTAAAGTGCTTCACCCACTCGAGCGTTATCTCGGCGTTGGAAAAAGCTGTTTCCGACTGTGCAAAGCGCATATTAGGATCACCATCGATATCTGACCACTCGATCGTTGGAAAAGCTTTGAAGATAAGCCAAGGAGGAGTAGTTGCTCCTGCGGCGTTACCTGTACTAATTACCGTATAAGTCTCCCTATCTTCCGGCGAGAATACCTCTGTTAGAGTCTTCTTCTTAGTACATACAACGAGGCATTACACACGCTCTCGCAGTATTCCGACTCTAATTCCGGCTTAATCAGCATTCCAACACTCTGAGGCGCCAATCCCGTATCTGGTGATGACTTCAGAAAGTCGTTTAAACCACTGCTTCGTCTCCTCCACGCCGGCTTCTTCATACTCATAGCGAGCAGCTTCTTTCGACTTCAAAATCGATGTATCAAGCTCGGGATGATCGTCACGGAAGCGACTGTACCACATCTTTGAGACCGGCTGCGCAGCAGCATCACGGCGGCTTCTTATTGTATTTGCTGCATCTTCAATCTCGCCTTTAGAGGCCGGAAGACCGGACTTCTGCATCCAAATGATGAAGCATATAATAGCTTCTTCTTCGCTATCCGAAAGGAGTCGCGGCCGGCCCTTATTTGGCTCAGGAACCAGGCTAAAATCCGCTGTTTTAGCTTCTTCAAGCTTCTTGACGATACGCGCAATAGACGACTTGTGGGAGCCCTTATACTGCCGCTCAGCATCGCGTATTAAAAGAGGCTTCCTTATCACATTAGAAGCATCACAAGAGAGGCCCTTTTGGAGTCGTTGGCGTGAAGAAACCACCGCTTAAGCTGCTCTGATATTTGCATTTAAAGGCATAATGCACTTAGACAAGAGTACTCCTTTTTTGGCTAACTGGCGTCTAGATTTGGGTCGATTTTACATATAAAATCGAGGAAATTCGCGACAGCCGGCGGAGCGGGGTTGTCCCACCGTTTTGTGACTGTCCCGCCTTTTTGTGGCCAACTAAGCTTGCTTAGTTGGCCCCCCCCCGGCTCGAGCCAACGGGTATATCTTGTTTCAAGGCTTCAATTATAGGGCATCACAACATTCGGAGTCGAGGTGAACCGGCTCCATTTTCTCATCTTTCTAGCGTCACTACTCTGGACCTGAGAGAGAGGAGCCTCATGGCGTGATTCTGATGATGATCAAGCAGATCTTGTCTTCTATTATCTAGCGCCTTCGTCTTCCAAGTGTTCCTGAATCATGGCACCCCGATAGCTATACTCGACTTCGTCTCCCGAATCCGAATCTAGCCACCCCAGCCCCAGCCTTTCGTGCTCTACGCTTACATGCTCCGTTTCCTCTTTTGTGGTATCAAGAAACATCACAATATGCTCCTGTTCGTCCGTCGTTCTACATACACAAACCCGAAAAATACGCTGCGCCAAAAAAGGAAACCTGCTCCGCCCATGATCCTGCTTTTGCTCCCGTACATAAATGATTAAGAGGTAGAATATAGTTATAAGATAAGGGTAATAAGTGACAAGAAAGTGTGATCAGCCACATATCCCAAGCGATTGGACGGTTTCCCCTGGCTGAAGGATGGGGAATATTAAGTGCATGTAAATAATTCTTTCTCCTTTTCCGGGGCTCCAGGTCTATAGTTTTTCGTAAAGCGACATAGGAGATCATAGACGTAATAAAATGGAATACAAGACAATTTTTGAGAAGGGGAATGGGGAAGTGAAGTATGATTAATGTTAAAAAAAGGGTTCGTGACAAAAAAAAAGGCCAGTCTCGAATACGAAAGAAGAATGAAACGGCCTGTAAGCACGGAACAAAAGAAATTAATACAGGGATAAAAGAAACAAGTCGTGGGTGCGTTGTGCCCTACCTGGGCTGAAACTGGTGTGCTCAAGTCGACAACTCTAGGAAGAAGGCCTTGGGGTCGTTGATAAAGTTGTCGTAATTGTTATTATGTTGGCTGAAAGCAGCCAAATGCAAAAGCGAATGTGTTTGGGCGTAGGTCGAATGATCGTAAAGAAATAAGGAGCGTTCTGAAAGGGGAATGTGGTGTTTTTGATGCGTCGCGATTATAGAATGAACCCTCCGCTGGCATAATTATTTTTCTTTTATTATTGAAGCTGATGATGGGAATATAAGGGCTCTTCGGATTCTGCGTTTGAGGCTACAGCTGGTGATAATGACTGTGACAAAGCCGCCAAAGTTGCTGGATCCTCAACCATTAGCTGCTCAGCTCGTTCTCGACACGCTGCAGGAGTAAAGCCAGTGCCAACTTTATTGGCGACGATTCTCCATTTCTCGTTCTCGTAGTCCTGAAGGGCAGTTCGAAGCTTTTGGTCCTAGGGAGAAAGTCAGAAAATTCTTCAATCACACCACCGAGGTGATTAAGGGTTAGTTTGCTGGTTAACGTACCGTCTCGTCGGTCCAGTTCGTTGTTTTAGCTTTGAGCTTCGTACAGTATCGAACTTGTAATGTCCCTGAAGATCGTCCTGGAAAGAAGTCTGCTATTTGCTTCCACGTCAAGTTCTTGTTTTCCTTCAGTTCGATCAACAGCTGGTCATCTTCTGGCGTGAACTTCAGTTTAGGACCTCGGGGGCGAGGTGCTGGATCCGGCATTCCAATTTGTCCCACAACGCTTGGAGCTCCCCCTAAGCCGTCGTCGCGGCGCATCATCTTGGAAGGTGGCTCCGAGTCGGGGAGGTGGTGGTGGTGATGTATAGGCTGGTGTTGAGGCTGTGAAACTGCCACGGCGGCAGCGTGAGCATATGCTGCTCCCAAAGGTGTCTGTTGCATGCCACTGAGATCCGAATGGTCCAAGTCAGCCATTCCTGTAACAGATAGATCAAGATCACTGGGTCGTGGCCGCTTAGAGCCGGGTGGAGGCACAGAATGCTGAGGGTGATTCGGTGGTGTTGGGGTCGAAAGAGTCTGGTACATAGGGGCCATGACTTGTCCTGGGGCTCCAAACTGAGGCGGCCCCAGACGATGGTGTCCTAGATGAGAAGGGTCCATGACCATCTGTGGTGATGGATGCTGATGGTGTTGAGCCATTGCTGCGTGCTGGACATGAGGGTTTCCGTGATGCGGGTCGGGAGTGCCATGAATACCAGCAGCCGGGCCTCCAGGATGGTGAATAGAGGCCCGAGGCTGCTGGTGTCGTGAACGCTGATGAAGTGACGTATCATATGCTTGCTGATGTTGATTTTGCTGTCCTGATTGTGAGCCCTGACCCGAGTAGTCCACGGTATAATCCCCCACTCGATAGGTGCCCGCCAGCGTGCCTCCGATACATGAGGTCCTCCAGAGCGAACCGCTCTGGACGGCCGCTGGGCTCTGAATGGAAAGAATTTGACAGGATGAAGCCCTTGCGGGCTACGGCGAGGAAGAGAAAGGGTTATTTAGTGGCGTCCAAAACGGTGTGATTTGTGTGCGTCGAGCTAGGCTTCTGGGTATTGTATTTTGCGTCTGAAGTGTAAGTCGATAGCGTTACTAGCTACTAAGCAGCTTGCCACATATATTGTCTGAATTTTCACTGATTGGTACCGGGCCAGAGGCTTTCCCGTTTCCGTAGTTGAGTGAGACGCTGGTGACTGGCGTTGGAGGGCCGTGTTGGGGGGGTGAGCTCAGGCAGGAGTTATAATAGCGTAACGGTTGTGAGTAGTCCAAAGGAGCGTGTTGAATGCGCATTCAATCCGAAGCTGCTGTCTTGGAGAGAAGGCATAAGAGAAGGACTTGATTAGGATGAATACTATTATGACATACCACTACTGCACCGAGTAAGGCAGTCGATAGGAAGGCGAGTTTGTAGAAGCGGTAATGCTTTATTTTGTATGATAGGATACGTCCCCTCACAAGATCTCTTTTAGCTCCCGGCCTGGGGTCAGTAAACGTATTTAACACAAGGGCTAGTAACCTGGCAAGCGTTGCCAGTACCAGGGCAGGCCTATATCGTCTGATGACGGAGTAGCTAGAGCAGGGTCGCAGAGGGAGTGGATCACTGGCCTCTCTGCGTTCATGCTGCAGGTTAAAGCACTTGGAGATTTTGCCCAGTCCGGTATGAGAACAATCCCCGTCCGACAAGTGCTGGGCTGCGGAGACTACCTGTTAACCAAGGCCAGGGTCTGGAGGGTGGTCAATTTGACGATCTTATGTCCATTGCAAGGTCCCCAGGGTGCCTGATATAGAAACAAGAGCCACCCCTGGCATCCATCATGACTAGCAAGGATATGAGCACAATGCAATAGCATTGCTTTGAAGACAAGCTCTCTCGATTAGATGGCAATTTGCCATTGTAAAGCCCCTGCGCATAGAACAATTAGGAAAATGTACCTCTGCTGGAAAAGATGACACAGAAGGACGGTGGGCGGAGGTGCTTATTGGGGCACAATGCCAACTTGAAACGCGCTTCGCTTGAAGAGCGTGAGACTAGACCACACTGATGTGGCCAAGAACAGCCGTAGAAACACAGCAGCAAAACAGCCATTGTCAGGTTTTTCGCCGCCTTTCCAAAGAAAGAGCCACAGAGAGTGGGTGCCGAGCTGATGGCGTGGCAACAAGGGAGAAAACAGCTCTGGTGCTCGGTGCAGGACAGGAGTAACGGTGTGGAGCGGAGGGTTATAACAAACCCAGGGTTTGCTATAGTAGATGGCTCAACCGGGATCGTGTCTATCAATTGGACTAGATCGCAAGCAGAACCATTCTCCACTGTCCGGGAACCTCCGTTTGGCAAATCTGGATGGGAAAACAGGGAGAAACCCATCATGGATGGGTGAGTGTGCACGCCGGGTTGTCGGGGCTGGTCCAGATTTGATCAATGTGAGCGCACGCCATGATGTTGTTCCGCACAAGCTAGATCGACATCCTGGTTAACGGTGGCTGGATTGAACAAGCTCCCGCACTAAAGTCAGGGACCAGATACGTGCAACAGTCAACTAACAACTGCCTAGAGCCAGAAGTGGCCTCGCGGCTCATGGACAGGGCGCACCTGGGTATGTGAGCATGGGCCAAGTCCAGCAAACGGGAAAATCGACCCTGCGAACCGATTATCTGGATCACTCAATAGGGGAGGGCTGAGAGGAACGGTAACGGGCAGCGACATCCACATCAGAATTAGTGACCGAGATGAGTCTGTTAGTGACTGCCTTGGCAAGATAATGGATGCAAATGAGAGCTTCTGGTAAAGGCCATGACGCCGAAAAAGTTGGGAACTCAGACATATGCGCAGATGCTTGCTTGTCTGAGAAGCATGGAGCTGGACGCGATGCGATTCTGCATCAGGCTGGACCTACCCGGTTCAGAGCCGGGACCAAGATAGAAAATGTGTCTTGGCTTGAAACCTGACGATATGTCAAAGGGACGAACGCCCCATATCGAAGCCGCTATCGACAGTGGCTGGTGCTGGTGCGTGTGCCCGGAACAGCCTTATTGAGCGGGCATTGACACTCCGTTCGGAGTGCCCAAGATTGCGCTGCTCAATGCCTCATGCCAGTCAATCAGACCGCCCTTGGAAGGCGTGCATCGCGTAGGGTAACAGGCGTTTTGAAGTCGAAACACGCATGATGTTGAGGCCGAAAGCAGCCTGGGATTCCGGCAAGATGGTGTTCCGGCGGCAGGGACGCATTAGCAAGCATCTCCTGATGTGCGAGTGTGACAAGTCAAGTCGAGTCAACGGTTTTGTCACTGCCATTGTCGTCATGAAGGAGACGTCAATGGGGGGATCGGATTCCAGGACCCCGGTTCAGGAACAGGAACAGGAGGTCGGGGATGGCCTTCTAGAAGGACCTTCTAGCGCGTACAGGGCCTTGTTGGGAGTCGGGACCTTGGCTAGCGCAGAGGACCCTAGTTGCTGGTGGAGCGGAATGAGCACGCGCCGCTCTGAGTGTGATTGAAGATGGGCAATAGTGGATGTAAGTTGTCGGACGGTAACTCCTTAGGGGTATCCGGCGATGAATGGGCTCAATTTTGAGTGGTGATGCTTGCTTGGAGTTGGAATGTAGAGGTGATGATAGTGTCAAAGGGGGGATGATGAGTAGCAAAATGGAGGCTTGGCTGAGAGGGGGAACAGGGGGAAGTTGCCCGAGCATGATGTGACCTGTGTGAAGATTTGGAAAGAACCACCAAGGCAGACTGGGGATCAAAATCGAAGAAGGAGCAGGTGTCACTGTGCCTTCCAGGAAAATGCCTTGGAGCTTTACGTAGTACGTGGGCACTAGGTACCTAAAGAACGAATGTTATCGATGTCAAGCGGGCGATGGTAGGTAGCAGTTGGCCTAGAGAATGCAACAGTATCGCTTCCCCACGATGACAGCAACCTAATCTCAGCTATATCCCGAGCTCAATATTACTTTTATCAACAAATCTATCACAGCGAAATAGTGCCAACATGGCAAGCTAGATCGTGGATCAACGGATAGATCGAAGTTTTTGGCCTATGAATAGTATTATTCTAGGTTGGCAGCTCATCCAAGCTCTTCTGCATTATCTATTTGAAACGCTGAATACACTAGACATAGTGGTTTGACAGATCGATATAGGCAGGATTGTCTATAAGTCAGTGATGTATACCGAGATTTAATATTATTAATTGGAAACATTGACACGAACGGTTTCTGTTCTGTTGATCTTATCTAATCTCTTTGCTCGTGGTATTCATTCTCAGTAAATCCAGCTGTTGGCAATTATCTGATCTGAAGCTGGCACTTTATGGTTTAACCTCGAACCAACACAACCCAATGCATTGCAAACCTAAGATACCCTAAACAATTAGACAAGACTATTGACCAAAGCTCACTTTACGTGATGTTGAATAAGCCAGCCATGGCCGGAGCATTGTCTCATCAAGTGATAGTCTAGCTCAGCTCAACGGCCCGGAAACTCGAATGGCCGTGGGATGTGACCAACTGCCTACCTGCCGTGAGCCCAAGACCCAATTCTGTGGAGGGATCGTCCATCTTACCGAGCAATGGCAGCCCAGGGCCTGGTCTTTGACGCCATCTTTGGCTCGAACCACCTTGTAACCATCCCTAGTCAAATCTTACCTCACCTTACAGGCTTCTCACTGCAGGTACAGAACGCCTAGACTAAGGTATGTATGCGGGTCACTTGTCAAGGAGGTAAAATGACATGGGTTCGCCTGGGCTGGCCTGGGTTGACAAGAATAGTAATCGACGTCAGCGAAATTCGCGTAGATCTCCAGCTCTCGACCACTGAAAACCCAACGGCCAAAAATAACAAGATACGCCCGTCCTAATGCCATTCGCCCCACAACATAGAGAGAAAAGATCTTCAGTGAATTTCCAAAGATATCGTTATAACATAGGTGACTATAGGTAAACGAAAACCCTAAATAGGAGGGGGAATTTCTGCTGATCTATTTGAAAAATCTTTACCTAAATTGCCATAGGATCTTCTCCCAACTCCACGCCCACTCAGACTATCAAGCTATCCAAGCTTTTCTATTTCATAACCTCGCTTCGAATATTCGCATGAATGCATAAATGACCAATTTTACTCCCCCACGCAGCTGACTGACAGCTCAGCGCGCTTCCACGCCTTCGGTCAAGCCGCCTTTTAGTACCGTACGGCCCTTGCACGAATCTATTCCCAATTCTGCCACCTACAGTTTTCTATCTCCCTTCTCCCAACGACACGGTCAATTACCCGGCTATCGACGTGGGTCATCCATGCGAACCCCTGTCGCCATCCGTCATCCGTCATCTACATCCCCATGCATCTTGCTGGTCGATGTCGATGACTTCTTTTTAGACTTTGCACCCTAGGGAGAAAAAAGAAAGAAAACCAATTTCTGTCTATACTAGATCCCGTGCCAGTGTGCGATCTAGATCTATTAGAGAACTCTACATAATTTCATATGACTTGATGAGAAGAAATAAACATGGTCTAATTTTATTTATAATTGTAGGGTTTATGATAACATATCCCAAGTTATGACCATGTTGGAGTATTTTCAGCTTCATCACGAGGATGGCGTAATCCAAATCCTCTGCCTATGTTATCGCCACCATATAAGGAAACCATCCCGTCACTAATCAAGTCAAGTGATGCGTTATCTCGGCTTCAATTTCTCCATCTTGTCATTTTAGCATAGCTATTTTACAACATGCATAAAAAATACACCCAGTCTGCCCAGGTCAACTAATTGATTACAAAATGAAATGCTCCCTTCTTTGATGAAACAACGCCCATTTACCCACTACTTTAAGCAAAGTTATCCGATCGGTCCACCCAAATATCCTCCAGTTCCGCAAAGTTAACGAAATGCACTGGTCTGTGCTGGTCGCTATAGAACGGCAGTGGCGTATCCAGCTTGACGTGAACAGGCCTCTTCTCCATTCCATTAAACGCGTTGCCCATAAAGCTGTAGTTCCACTTGCCATCGTCCGGTACCAAGAAGAATCCCCTGAACCGTGGGCTCAGCAACAGCTTTCGCTTCTCACCCATTGTTGTAGTAAATCCTTGAGGTTGATCACTCTGGGTGTCCTTGTTCTCAGCTCCCCACTTGTAGCCTGCTGGTGTCAGGCCCCACGCCGATAGAGACACACTGCCAGGTGTGAATGCAACCGAGACCGTGACAGTGTTGGTCTTGTCCCACTCGTTATGCGCATCGAGGAGCTTTGAGTGCTCTGTCACATCCATGGCCGACATGTAAGGTAGTTCGCTGCCAGAGACAGTGTGTATCACACCCAGAGGCTCCATTCCTTCAAGGAACTCGCTCTGAGGAAGTTGCTGGGGCAATTGGACGTTGCGGAGGCCGCCAATCTGGGGGATCATGACGATACACTTGATCTCCTTGACCTGGTCGTTGTCGGGGGCTGAGGAACCGTACAGGTAGCCGGCCACTTGAACTCTGAGGTCAGCAATGGTGATGAAGCGCTTCAGAATGTTGTTTGGCATGACGTAGGTGATATCATCGAGATCGTTGTCAACCGACGAGACGTAAATGTTCTTCGCTCGTGTGCGCAAGTTGGATGTAGCAATAGCTCTTGTTCGCCATTCAGTTTTGGAGGCAAACGTTTGCTGCTCGAACTGCGAAGTTGTGGTGACAATGATCTCTTCGCCATGGACGTTCTGGGTCTTGGTAGTCACAGCCGTCAACTGTGCCTGCTCTTGTTGTTGCTTCTCAATTTCGGCGGCTTGTTGTCGTTGCATTGATGGGGCCGAGATTTCCATACCCAAGATAATGTCTCGCACTTCACTCGTCGTCAAACTGGAGACATTGACATTGTTCTTCTTGCCATAATCATTCAGGATAAGATCTCGAAGCTGCGTTTCAACCTTGATCCAGTCCTCGTCTGACAGTGATGGCCAAATATGGTGCTCATGTGTGATGACAGTCTTGTCAGGTCGGAGGATGAGTTTGGTCTTGTCGGGGTTGACGTGAAGCGCTCGCAGAATAAGAACAAGACGAGAGAAGGCAGTGTAAGACGAAATACTCTTCAGCCACTCATCGTACAGGTTGAAAAGCACCATCTGAGGTTCAGTGGCACGAAGAATCATGTCACCAAGCTTCTCCACCTTCATCGCTGCCTGGAAGGGAAGCTGAAGCTCTGAGGCCCGAATAGAAATATTGGGGAAGTCGAGCAAGTGGACTTCGAGAGGATCCAAGAGACCCTTTCTTGTCACAATCAGCTGCTTGGGTTGCTCTTCTACAGGCAATGATCGGATCAGAGCAGCGACTTCTTCGGCTGTCTTCCACTTGGCGAGCTGACCAAGACGCTTCTGTCCAGCCCAGACACTAGTGTGAATGATCTTGAGGAACAGCTGTCCGGTTCGTGGGTTGAAGATGAAGATAGCACCGTTGATAGGCTTGGTTGTCAAGTTACCCTCGAAGGTCTTGTGAATGGTGACACGGTAGACGTTTGTGTCATCGATGAACAACTGTGTCTGGTTGCTGAACAATTCCGAGTAGTTCTGGGAGTTCAAGAATTCCTGGTTACTCTCAGAAGCGTAGAGTTGTAGACCCTTTCGGATACGCTCACGCAAAACGTACAGAGCGGGGTTGGCCTTCATGATCTTGGCCATAGCCTGCTGCACAAGAACCTTGAGACCAGGGAAGTACATGCCGTAAGCAGAATAGAGGTTGTAGGCAAGATCAATACCAATCATTAGACCAGTAGCTGAGGGATAGATACTGGCACTGTCTGTTGTATAGTCGAGATACTTGGCACGTGTGTACCGTTCAATATCGTGTGAGTCGTAATCGCCATATCGGAGCTGGACATCAATCCAGAATTTGTTGGTAGTTGTCTGCTCAATAACATCCTTGGTATCGTAAAGAAGTGATGGTCTGGTCACGTTCCACTTGTGGTTGGAGAAGAGAAGGATATCGGCACAAGAACTGTTCATCTTGTAAGACTTTCGAGGATGAATAGTCTCTTTCTGAACTGTTTCAATGCCGAGAGATTCCAGTTCCTGGTCAAATACCTGGCAAAGATCCATAACAACAGACTCATGGATCTTCTGCCACAAATGAGCTCGGAAGATCTGGATCAGCGAGATCTTCAGAGTAGGAATCTTTCCGTGCAAGAAAATGCCAGTTAAATCAAGCTGGACCTGGAAACCCACGTAGACGTTGGCTCGGTTGATGGTGGGTGACCACCACAAAGTGAAGCGGCGGTTAGGAATTTGATTCAAACCGCTTCTTTGTGCATTAGTCAACTTCTTGAACTTCATAGACTCTTCAAAACCGCTCGCCTTTTCCCAAAAGAGGCCTTCCCATGATGGGAAACCTGTTGCCTTGAAAAGGGTATGTTCAAGGATGGTCTCAACACCACCCAGTGCTTGGATCACATCGGTACGATAAGCGTTCAAGTTCCACAATTTTCCATCATGACGTTGACTAGTCCACCAGAAAGGATTATTCTTCATC